AAAAAGAAGCTATCACTTTGTGATAACAGTTTAAAGAAGCTCTGGAACCATAGAAGAAGTGGTTGATAAAAGCTAAAAGTCTCTCATAAAATAAACAACAGTATTAGATATATTAGTTCTATATATCTGTAAAACTTACAAGAAACTTTCAGAAGGGTTAAGCATTCACAAAAGCTATAGTTTGGTTTACCTCATGCCTTTTCTTTTTTTCATGAAAAATTTTATAAAAAGTGGATAATTTAGTTTACCCTTTTCAAAAGATTGACATATAAAACACCAAAACTGTCAGTAGTATTTACTTCCTAATCAGGATTGTATAAACAATACAGCAATATAAACACAACTCATACATGTGTCTCAAACTATTGAAACTTTATGAAATACTGTCCTCAGACTAACCAGTATCCTATGCTAATTTTTTATGTTCAAGTCAAAGTTTTATTCTACATGGTTTTTATTAAATATTTTAGTAAATAAAAAAATAGTAGAGTTATTTCTATTTAGTATAGTTTATAATTTTTAAAAACCTAACACAGACTTATAATTGTGACCATCTGATAGTTATGTAGTGAGAGTCATACATATCTTTTTTTTTTTTTTACTTTTTTCCTTTTCCTCTTTTATTTCTTGTATTTGTATCTTTTATCATCTACCCCTATACCTCTGTGTTTTTTTTTTTTGTTTTTATTCACTTCTCTATGAGAAGATATTATCAGATTGGCAATATCTTATTGTAAAGTGGTGGTCAGATGTGGCCTCTAATATACTCTAATTTCTTTTGAAGTTAGACAGTCAGTGCAAGCAGATCACTTATAAGAACTCATAAAAGCATCTATGAGATGTTGGGCCAGAATTTATGAACTAATTTGTATATATATAATACAAAAATATATAATAAAGGTGACCAGTAAGACTGCTCAAGTGAAGGAAAAATATATATATATATATATATATATATATAAGATAACATATAAACAACTAGATTGTCAAAACTTATTAAAGAAAAAGAATACAAAAGTATACTATATTGGACTATTTGAATTAATTAGAATATCAATAACTGTACTGAAAGAAAATTAGTAAAAAAAATTAAAAAAAAAACATCAAAAAAATAGGTATCAAAATTTGAATAAACTTTATAAAAATAAAAATAGTAAATATAGCAGTTTAAAGTTAGCTTTAACTAAAAGTATTAGATCATTATAATATATTTCATAAAACTAATTAGCTGTATATAGAATATAAAAATTACTAGTAACTATACTTTTCAGAATAATTTATATGAAATAAAATAAAAGTTATAAAAATATAAGTAAGTATCTAAAACTTCTTAACTAATATATATACTAAAATATTCTAGTAATATAATAAGGATTGCAATATAAAAAGTTTAAATAGATAATACTTGTAGTTGGATTGCAAATATAATAATTAGTGCAGAATTATTAACAAACTACTTAATTAGATATCAAAAAAAATATATATCTAGTTGTATTTTCTAATTTAAAAATAACTTTATAAAAGTGTAATAATCTAGTAAAATAGACAAGTTGTCAACTCTCAAATAACAGATTTAAGATTTAATTTTTACAAATAACAAATTTTGAAAATTATATTTATATTGCAATAACTGTTTTTTGTTAATTAGTTGAATTTAGGCATCTGTAATCTTAAATATATCAAGTCAAGTTCTATTTAATATTGAAAGCTTAAGGCATCTATATGAAGTGTAATATTATATATATTGTATAAAACTTCAGTACAAACCTATAATAAGACCATCAAGTGTAGAAGATTAAAAAACTAAGAAGACAGAAGCATACTTGAAAATTTTAGATAAAAAGATAACACAAACTTTTGATAATAATATTAGACCAATAGAAGTCTATAAACCACCTTTAAAGAAATTGTCAAATAAACCAAATAAGAAAAGTACATATACTAACAAGACTGTTTGAATTGTTAGAGAAAAAAATAATATATAAGTATATTATACTAGATCATCTGAATTGGTAATCTTGAAAGTTCTATTAGTTCTAAGTAGTAGTTAATAAGAAAAAATAAAAATAGTATTAAAAAAATAGATATTAAGATTTAAATAAACTTTACAAAAGTAAAAGCAGTTTAATAGATAAGTTTGACTATAAGTATTGATTTTGGTCATAGTAAAAACCAGGTTAGCTATAAATAAAAATATGAAGTCTTTAAAAAGTTTATCTTAAAAATAAAAATTGTCTTATAGATTATAGATCTAAGATTGAAACAAGAATTTAGATTTTGTATAACTTAGTAAAATTGATACAAAGGTTGCAGATCAGAAAGTTTAAATAAAACATCCAAGCAGAAGTGTTAAATATAACAACTGATAGAAAACCTTTAGACAGACTCTTTAAATAAATAATATAGAAAACTTATATATGTAGTCAATTGTATACTTTTCTATAATAGTTTAATATAGACATATATCTATATGAACATGTATTTAACAAAAGTGTTAATAAAATTAAAAGACCAAAGAGATTGCTTTAATATTAAAAAAAATAAAAGTAACTTTATTAAGATTTTGATCACAAGTTTTTATATTCTATAATACTGAATAAAAATTTTTAATTTTTAAAAAGACTAGTTTAATTTAAAAAAAAATTTATTAACCTTTAAGTTATAGGTTTAATTTTTAAATTTTATTTATAATGAAATTTAAAAATTATATTTGTATTATAATAGACTATTTCTTGATAATCAATTAAATTAGTATATATATCTGTAACCTTAGATCATACTATTTTAAATAAGAACTTGAATATTTATATAAAGAATAATATTTATATATATATAAAGAAATACTTATTAATATTATAAAAAATATTATTGTGAATCTATAATAAAACTACTAGACATAAAAAACTAAAAAATAAAAAGTTGGAATTTTATTTAAAAATTCTTAAATAAAGAGATAATATAAATTTTTAATAGTACTATTGAATTGATAAAAGCTTATAAATACTTTTTAAAACAATAAGTAGATAAACTAAATAACAAAAATGTGTTGAAAAATATATAATTAACCAGATTACTAAAATTTTTTTTTAAAAAATATAAAAATATATTATACAAAGCTATTTAGATTAGTAGTTTAAAAAGTTTTATTAATTTTAAATAAAAAAACTTAGTCTAAAATAATAAAAAAAACATTGAAAATATAAGTATTAAAGTTTTAGTAAATTTTATAAAAGTAGAAAATAGTGTAATATAATAGTTTAACTAGTAATATCTGTGTTTGCAAGTGTTAGCCTAACTATAACATGTTATATAAAACTAGATTAAATATATGTAGAATATAAAAGTTTTTTGCTAAAAATAAAGTAATTTTAAAGATAACAATATATACTAAATATTTAGATAAGTGTAACCTTACAGATGTCTTTGTGAAACAAAATAAATTGCATATACAAAAAATTTAAATAAGTAAAACTCATAGTTGACTTGCAAATATAACATCTAGTATAGAACCTGTATAGTAATATATAAGCAAACTACTTAAATTAGATATTAAAGTATATGTATAACTAGTTGTAAGCTCTTGTGTAAGAAAGTTTTTAAAAGCATTCATGTTGTATAAACTTAAATATAAGCAACATTTCTTAAAAGTAAAACTTAAAAAAAGAATAATAAATAAATACAAATTGTATTATAAAAATTTAGAACTTAATAAATAAGTTAGCAATATCACCAAAATTAAAAAAATATAAAAAAAATAATAATACTAATTTAAATAATTTTTCAATATCTAATAATATATATAATTCATTCTAATAATTCTCTAATTAACAATAATAACAACAAACTAAACTACAGAAAAACATTATAACAAAATACAAAAAAGACAAATATGTATGAACATACATATATACAGGTTTTCTTTTACCGTACTCATCCGATATAGATCTTATTACTTAATTCATAAGAATGCTACGTCCGAACCCTTAATGCTTTCTATATATAGTTATAAATGGATGCAGCTAGACATATAATTCATCATTGTTGTAAGACTTTCTTTATAGCAAATGTTTAATGCCGCGCAACTTTGTGCGCACTTGACTGAAAGTTTCTGAAATTAAACCTTTTGCATTCAGGCATAAAAAAAAACACGAAATAAATAGATAGTATTTAGCAATCACTTAATGCACTTGTTCAGTTTAGATCAGAATCTAATAAAATATATCGATATCAATATATTTCTATTATTCTGCTGGCAGATCCTCGATTTTGATTGGCTAACGGTCGGGGATCTGCAAAATTTTGGCCCGCATTACATAACTGTTTACTAATTTCTGGCCGGAATTAACTTTTTTTAACCTTTTCATTCCAAAAATAGAAAATTTCAAAGATTTCACTTAATCAGCGGTTGTGATTTCATTAGTAAAATTTTGAGTAATTCCGGCCAAAATGTTAGATCGTTGCGTAAAGATCTAGTATCACCAGTCTAAAAAATTTCGCAGACTATGATCTTATTGAAAAAATTGGTTCGCAATTTAGTTTAGGGTTAGGGTCCCATCAGTAGGTTAATGTTTGTTTAAAAGGTTATAGCTATAGTAAAATTTCATGAGGAAATTTTTTTGTTAGTACGCAGAAGGCACTTTCATAGGCAAAATTTCGAGCTACGAGCGTTTTTTTGTTGGTTTGATTTTTTTGCAATTTTTTGCGTTACACGAGATCTTGAAATCTGATTGGCCAGCGAAATTTTTTTGACTGGTGATTTAACTACTATTATCGTTGCGGCAGCTAGATTGATTGATACGCCACAAAAATGCTTACTTCACTATAAATTAAAAAACTTTTACAATTTTGTCAAAAAACCAATTGTCCGAAAGTATGTAATATACTGAATGTATGAATTGAATATTAAAAATATAATTCGAATAATAATTTTTAATTTAAATTATTCAACAAACTAGAATAAAAAACTTTGAAATCAAAATTACATATTTGATAAGGAGAATTCAATCATCTTCAATAGAAAATCGTTTGTATTGAGATTCATCTAATAAACCATCTTCTGTTTTTTTATGTGATTTATAAACTATTATTGTCAAAATTATTATTAAAGGTTATTGTCAAAATTATTGTAAAGATTTGATAGAATACATTATGAATGTTGTAAAATATTTTATTGTTAAACATACTGATATCTTTTAGTCCCGTGTCGAAGTTGCTGAATACAAATATTGACCATACTAATGTTGTCTAAATGAAATAACGATAATTAATAAGAATATTGCAACTTTAAAAATGAGATCAATAATTTGACTTACGGCAGCCATGATGATACCAAAAATTACTATTAGAAAACATAAAAACATCAATTAACATGAAATAAGGAACGAACAACAACGATCAAGTAAACCTACTTACTAAATATGATAAAAAAGTACCAACTACCGGTCGCATCACCAATTGAATAATATAAAAGTATTGTAAAGTCTAAAATGCAAGCACTCCATATGAAAAAAACAAAATACATTCCCACTTTCCACTCTTTTCGTACCTAAATTATTATGACACATATGTTTAAAAGAAACTAACTAATAAGCTTTTAAGAAAGTCTATAAACGACTTACCGAACGATATGCTAATAATTGATTTATAGCAACACAAATAGTGATGACAAGATGAAACATATAAAACTGAATAGGCATATATCTTAAATTTTTTAGACCACTTAGTTTACTAATTGTAACTACATATACATTTAACGCTTCGGCGGAAAGACCCAAAATGAAAATCAGGTCAAGTTTTAGTAACAAGAGATAAATTAAATAGGTTCTGTAACTAGCTACAAAATTGACATATAGTAAATACGTTAAAAAATAAAGTGAGTGAATGAATGAAGGAATGAGAACTTTATACACTAAATTTTATAAATAAATTATACCTTGCATGGATAAATCGGCACCAATTTTTTTGTAAATATTCCAACCAAACTGTTGGTATAATTTAAAGCATATAAATCCCATTATAATTGAAAATAATAATAATGCACTTATCAAAGGTGCATCGTATTTCAAAAATTGTGTATGTAAAGATAACCTTCCCGGGCAATCTTCTTCAAAGTCAATATACCATTTCTTGACTTCTACCCATTGAATCTAATAAGATAAAGCAAATTTGAAATGAAAATAAGAATTCGTAACACTGAAGATATTTGATAATAGAATTATTAATGAAATATTGAGTAATGTTTAAGAGTACTCTGGAATATCATTATTAAAAACCACATAATAGGAACACACCATTAACAATTCTATATGATAATGATATACTTACGATCCCATTAAAGGCAAAAAGGAAATTGATAATAGCGATTGCTATTACTTGAATTGAATTTTGGTTATACATCTTAATAAAATGAGATTATAAATAATTAAGAAACAAAAAAAAAAAATTATATAACAAAAAGCATAACGATAAACCAATAATATATTTACTGCACTGAAACAAAACCACATCTGAAAGATTTGGAATATGATGAAAACAATATTTTCATCTCTAATATTATTTAATCTCACATATGCAGGTTGAAATACACAAGTAGCGTTTAAAACCAATTCGTCAGTTATAGACCCAACAGTATTCAAACTTTGTTCAATGTCATTATTACGTGAGTATACTCTAAGTTCCAGAATAATGATTGTAATGGCTTGCAAGATAGAAATAAGCATAACTAGTTGTGTCCATTTTGATTCATTTAAACGATCCAGCTGGCGACAAGTGACAACAGTGTGAAAAAAAATAAACAAAAATAAAAATTGAAATATCTAAGGGTTGGTGGCTGATAAATATCATTAGCATGTTACATACCACCTTTCTAAACCATCTTTTATAATATTCTAATTCCAAAAATTCTGCCATCTTATAAAAAAGGTAAAATTAAAATTTTATTATTTATTTATTTACTTATTTATTTATTTAAACAGGCGAAATGTTCGGTTCTCGTCTCCAAACAACCTTTAATAAATGGACTTCTTTAATATATCTTAGTGGCTGTGTCATCATATTTCACTCGAAGCCTCAATAATTGTTCGGGTGAATATAAAATTGCAAAGATCTGAAACCCGCGTTACTTTGATGATCGTGTATAACGTGCGACGCCACGTCTCCTTTCTTATATTTCCGCGAACACCTTGTTCAAATAGAATTTATTTGATTTAACGTTAAATAAATAACGGACAATTTAATATAAAGAAGGATTTCGCAATATATTAATCATTGTTAACTAATTAGGTTAATTAGCCATATGGAGATGCAATTATAACGCGCTTTAAAAAATTGATCTTGGACATAACATACTCATGATTATACAGTTTAAAATAACATTAAGTCACGTTTTTATGTTATCGTTATCAGAAGTTGATTCTTGTAACAGTAGACGAAAACTCTTAAATGACCCTTGAAAATGTATATGATTATGTAATAACTTTATTTTTGATATGCGTCAATTTAACAAACATCAACTCGGAAATTCAAAATAAAGTGATCTTTCAAATCATTTGTTTGTACGTATCATTCTAAACAATGACAGCTTAATATTTCCGTATTATTTTCATTCGTCCTCTCAATTTGGTAAAAAAAAAAAAAATACTATTTACATCAATGTAGAATATGCAACTCATGAGTGATGTTAACCACACAAATTTCCAAAATGTTGCAGAAAAAAAATTCGGCTGAAGTGGAGGGATCGCTTATATCCAATTTGGTTAGTAAAACATAATAACTTCATAATCTTTTCTAGCTGTAACTCTGGATTGGTTGTTTTAGTGGAACTAGAATGCTTATACTTGAAAATGAATAAAAAGATTGATAGCTCATTTCTTTACATTTAGAATCTGATAACGCTAAAGACTGTACTATTGTACCAGCCTTTATGAACATTCACAAATAGTAGAAAGAATATCAAAACAATTCAAAATTTATATTTTAAATTCCTGTTATAGTAAATGAACAGTATAATATTTAATCTAAACATTATATGTATATAAATTGCAAGATAATTATCTAGTTTGTAGTAGTTTAATACAATTTATAGACAGTTTAAAATTTAGGACTTTATTTAAAAAAATAATGGAATTTTTTTTTAGATTCTAATTAAACTAGACTATGATATGTTTGGTCATAATTTAACAAAATAACAACAAACTCTACACTCGAGGCCATGTTATCTAACAAACATTATTCAGTGTAAAAAATTTATTAATACGTAAAATATAATTTCAACCAATAAAATATCTTGTGTGATGTAGGTTAGATGCCCTTGAGGTTATAGTGAAAAAAATTTAAACCATATATTTAGAGTGTGTATGCATTTATAAAGAGCAAAATATATATAAAGAAATTTATAAGCTAAGACCAAACTATACTGTATATTTGAAGATTTTTTATTAGCAGTTAAATCCCTATATGGTCTCACCTTTGTGATACAAACAACCGTGATTATAAAGAGGTGTAACTAATATAGAGGTATTTTTATATAGTTTTAAATAATTAATAAATATAATTTTGTAATTAGGATTTTATAACGATAATTTTTCGCCTTTGTCACTTATAAGATCACGTAACGTTGAATCAAACAACAATAATAATGCGTTAGTTTAAGGTTAGGGCCAGCATTATATTGGAGTTAGAAATGGCTTTAGTAAAGTGTTTTTACAATAAAATTTTACAAGGAATTTTTTAATTAGAACGTAAGAGGTGGTTTCATATGCAAATTCTTGAGTTATAGACGATTTTTCAGAAAAGACCATGTTTTGTTTCAATTTTGCATTACATTTAATCTTGCATTCTAATTAGTCTATTAGGGGTAGCAATATCACTATGGCAATAAATTACAATACCTTTGTAATTATATTAATTTTATAATTATAGAGGAGGTGACTATAAAGAAGTTTGAATTTATCATATTGTAACTGTAATCTGGTAAATAAATTTTAACAATTATATATAGTATATATACAGTATATTTATTAAAAATTATTTATATAGTATTCTTGTTTCATTTTGTTAATATTTTTTATTAAGTTTATCATATAAAAACTTATACAATTATAATTTTAATGTTTCTAGATCTAATATTACAATAATCTAAAAAAAGATATTAGATAATATTTTTTTATAGAAAAAATAAAACTAAAAAAAAACAAAAAATATATAAATACAATTAAACTCTTTTATAATTATACTTTTAAAATACAAAAAACTGTAATTATAAAAAAATATAATTTATATAAATATTTAAATAATTAATAAAAATAATTTTATAATTATATTAATTTTATAATAATAAAAAATATAACTATCTCTTTAATATCATACTACAACTATTTTTAGAATATTTTTTACAAATTCTATTTATATTTAAATTATAACTAAAAATTTTTATAACTACTTTTAATTATAATAAAAAAAATTTATTTTGTTAAAAATGTATTTAATATCTTTCTTACAAACTTACTATCATTTAAAATTTAACTTTTTATTATTTAATCTAAAAAGTAACAATATTTATAATTAAATATATTTTTTATTTTACTTACTTTTTTTTTGTTTTTGCTAAGACCAATGTTTATTAGCAGTTATTGTTTTTTTGTTTTTTTTAAAGAGAGGTTTATTCTTTATCTCTTTTATTTTTTTTATTTTTATTTTTTTATTTTTTTGCTTTTACTAAGGCTGTGGTTATTAGCAGCTATTGTTTTTATTATATTTTAATTATAGTTATATAACTTGCACAAGGTGAGTTTACAACTAGTCACATATACAACTTTTGGCTGTCTATTTTAAATAGTTCACTTATACAGCAGCTTCTACACTAACTACTATATTTGCAATCTACTAGGATATTATCTATTTAAATACTTTGATCCTTATACTTATACTAATAAATAGTGCACATGTTCCTGTACACTAAAATGCTATCTAACCTAATCTTGACTTTTTTGTTTATATGTTCATTAAGTTATTATATATTTCAGAATATATTAATTGATTGTAGGGCTCTAGAAGGCTTCTCTGCTAACTAATTACCTATATTTAGTCTTGTGTTAACATGACTCACCTTTGCAAAGTTCACATAGGCCTCAGTATCAACTTTATAGTATATCCTTAATACTTATAGTATACCTCTGCTTTCAAACTTAGACTTCTAATTCAAATAGTCCAGAAGGACTATAACCTGTTTTTGGTATCTCAGGATCTGCTTTTTAAGGTCTTTTTTTTTTAGTTTAAGACTTCTAATAGTTTGGTTAGTAGTACTTCTTATTTGAAGTTCTTGTCTGTCTGATTTCTTTCACATTAGTATCTATTTCTTAGATCTAGTCTTTATAGTAATACTGTTAAAGATTTGTATTACCTTTCTACTCAGGTTTTTCCAAGTAAGTTTCAGTTTTTCAGTTCATGAATTTATATAGCCACAAAAACTTATCTTGGGTTTGTATGCCTGATGTCAGTTTGCATTTCTCAGTATAATTCTAACATCACACAGATGCTTTATGACCTAACAGTCATGCTGGTATAATTATATTACAGGTATTTATTCTAACTAATTGACAGAATGTTATTACTATAATATTATTTATATATTACATAGATGATTATCTAAATTTTCATCATTAGTAGATTTTGAACTTATTATCTATTACTTGGAAAGTTGACAACTTATCCACTTTACTAAGACTTCATATTTTTTTTTTATTAATTAATTAATTATATATATATATAAGATACATGAAGAAAAAACTATACTAGAAGAAATAAAAATAAGAGCTATTATCTATTCTTTATTAAAATGGCAATAAACCTCTAGTATTTGATAAGTTAATAAAGAGAAAATTGTTTATATATAATATAAAGTTGTATCTTTTTATTTAGTAATGCATATAAGATTGATATAATTTTAACTAATATTGGGTGTAGGTCCTATAGCTTAGCAGTTAAGCTCTCACACTCTCTACAGTCAAGGTCAACAGTTCAAGTCTGGCTGAAAGCAAAATTGAAAGATTTTAGCTTCTGTAACCTAATAAGGAGCCTGTAATTGAATATGAAGCCCTGTGGTTAAGTCCA